AACATTTTTTTACATTGTATATGGGGTGGTTCAAATTCAAGGCTCACCATTGGGATTTCCATAACCGTGACATACAGTGTAGGTTAAATGGGGGGGGGGGGCAAAATTGTCTCTTTTTATTGTGACTAACAAAAAACCTTTTAAAATTGTTGAAAAATTGTTGAAAATAGAGATCACAGAAAAACTGAATATGTCAAATTTCGTTTTTATTTTCCCTAGCTTAAATTGACGGTCCCCGTTAGCACATTCTATGGGCACTTTTTTGGGAGAATCTGGATTAAAAACAAAACATGTTTTATGTTTTGTTTGGAAATTTATAAAAGTGCACTATACCTGTAAAGTTGCAGGTTTCTGATATCCCACAAGTTGTACGACAGGGAAACCATTTCCAGTACGATCCTTAACCGCGCCTCTACTACCTTCAGTTTGATACCGTGCTCTGTGTTGTTGTTCTGGCTGACTGATTATTCTCAAACTAACGCTCGCTAAAATAGTTTGTTAGAAAACAAAACGATGCCATTCGAAAATAGATTACCTTCGCGGGAGACATTTGCGAGCTGTGATGTGAGATTAACTGATTGTGAGGATGATACACGACTTATAAGTGGTGTGCATCGAGGAACTGCATGGGTACCATTACTGCTTTGTGTTCCATGTAGGTTAAGAGATGGAGTTGTAGACGATGGAGCTGTACGTATTATTCTAAAATAAAGTAAACCATCTATACCCGCCGTTTACAGCAGCTAACAACTAAGAAGGGATGTCAGTAGAACGTAAATACAACTTTAAACATTGTTATGTAGGTATGTTAAAAAAGTTGACTTCTCATCTCAACCGTAATTGCATTTAAAAAGTTGTACTTACGACATTGTGTCTTTACAAGTTCTTATTGTTTCGGGAAAACTAAAATTGTCATTGATCTCATCGTCTTCTAATTTAATGTCCAATCTTGGTCGTTTAGCTTCCGCTCGTTCTCCAGTCCATGTCAAACGATCTGTTAAATTTGTTCGATGATCAACAATGTGATGATCAAATCTGCGTACCAAATAAATATCTAAATAACTGTTTAAAAAAATTAATATAAACGATTCTTACCCTAAACCGCTATCATTAGAATTATCACAGGGGTCAAGGCTCCTTCTAGTAGTTGTGCGTACCTTACCGGGAAAAGCGCGAACCATTGCTAATCTCTTACCGGCTGATATTCTTCTATCAGTTCTTCGTTCTCTTGTCGCACTATGTGGAGTAACTACAGTGGGAACTGTACACATAGTCATCTTTCCTTCTGAAAAAGAAAAACAAAATGTTAAAAGGTGAAATGAAAAAAAAAGTTCACTCAGTCAAGGACTTACAATTTGTACACAACATTGAATGAAATCAGTGATACACAACCTCCAGATTTTTTAAAAATGCTAGTAGCGTAAAGACCCCTTTAGAATTGTTGTTTATATTTAAGCAATCTCTTATACAAAATGAATTACGTAAATGATAGGACCCCATGTGACATGATTATTAATTAAAATCCCCAAATCCCCGACAACAACAAATTCGTCATTTATTTGTTCATTAATTCATCAGAATTTGGTAGAAACTAATAGGAGTACGACTCCGCAAACGCATTTTCTTGTTTGTGAGGCTTTCAAATTGTGGAGCTTCCACTACTGCCAAAAATGTGCAAATGTACACATTTTGAACGTTTAACGTGGCGGACTTTGGTTTTCAATGAGTGCGCCCGCATTCAATGTACGGAATTTGGCACTGTGTCAGATTTAGCATAATCCTCAACCTTCAAACCCGAATGCCAATTTCAATAAATATCTCTTCGCAAAAAGCTACAAATGTTTGTATACCAGAAAAACCAGACCTTACTACTTAAATTTGCAGTTACACTACGTCAAAAAAGCTTTTCAAGTCACGCTTGTAATTACGTATACAGAAAAAATGTGAAAACTTGTGACTTATTTTTCGTCGATAACTTAGCATGTTGTCTTAAAATATGTTTCTGCTTCCAAAAAGTTCGGTCTATAAGTAGAATCTATTTTAAACCATAATCACAAACATTGGTCTGCAAAGCTATTTTGCATTTGAATTTTAAATGGCCAGCAAGTTTGACTTGGCGCCTAACCTCCCTTGTGCTATGCAGATAATTGGATTTCTAAAGAAGAAATTCTAGAGACTTTTGAAGAAATGTGTTCCAATTTACGAAGGCCAATCGACATCGCAACGGGAAAAAGTCCCGGGCCATTCATTCAAGAGGCGGGAGTGAAATTTCGACTTTCGGATTCGGGCGCAACAAAGAAAATACATAGATCTGAAACCTGAGAATGCATTTTCTACTATACTCAAACTTGGAGTAAATCGTTCGACCAGGGTTTTCACGTGCTTTCGTGTTTTTCGACACAAAAAATTCGAAGAAAAGAGAGTTATTATCGTGCTTTCAAGAAAACCATAAAATTCCGATTACTTCGGAAGATGTGCCAGAAAAACCGAAATTTGCCGACTTGGTTTTTATTTCAGTAAATGCAAAAAAATAAAAAAACACTGTCTCATTGCCGCTTTTTGAGCTCTACAATAGAGTGTTGCAAGACAACGTCTCGTTTCGGAGAAATCATCATCACATGGGGCGATTAGGGTATTGTATGCGGGTGCACCATCCTGTTGAAACCAACAGTTTCCCACTTCTTGTGTATTGTACATCGTTGTATTCGTATAAAAAATGCTACCCATATACAGTATGTACTTTTTTACAGGCCAACAAAACATTAAGTTGATGAGGATTTCTCCGTCATTAAACGTTGTATTGAAAAATCTCTCATCGATCTCGTGTGGAGCTCAAGAAGTAGCAAAGAGAAAGTGTTTTATTTTTTTTGTATTTGTTCAAATAACACCGAAAAAGATAAAAAACGAATTGGTAAATTTCGAATTATCTAACATATCTTCGGAAGTAATCGGAATTTTTTGGTTTTCTTTAAAGCATAAAAATAACTCTTTGCGCATACCTTCTCTAAATGGACCATTGTCGTATCTTCTACGGTTTCGGAAATTCCCTTGATAGACATCATTATCTTGGACACAGTGTATCTGTATAGTCTTAGTCCTTAGTGGGATTTGTCTTGCAATGAGGATTTTCATCAAGTAACGATAGTGGCAAATTTGACTTTTTTATAGTGGTAAAACGATTAGAAAATGTCGAACCAAAATAATACACACAGATAGAGAATATTATTTAGGTTGCTATGTGAAGGGCAGTACAGAGCTATTATAGATTCACATGCAATTGTGATATCGGTGAGAGATTACTAGATAACTGTTCTAAAAAATCACAAAATGTGTAACGTTCAAAGTGTACTACAAATATTGACTTCTGTTAAATAGACATAGATAAGTTGGTACTTCTGCAATAGCTACATGATTTAAAAAAAGTGTGTAGGTATTATATCACATTCCAGGGAATGATTTCATTTTATAATATAAAAGGTGATAAACTACTCATCATGCCATCCCACTGATTGCGATTTCAAATCAAAGCCACAAGAAATTCGAAAATTTAGCAAATGCGTCCCTTCACAAAAATATTGCCGCGAATTGAACTAATTCAAAAACCCTTCACTATAGGCATACATCAGTGACATATCAACTTTAAAATGCATAGATGAAAATGAATGAAAAATGGGGCATTCCCAAGGATGCTATATAATACAGGATTGCTCGATCACTGAATTTTTTCGCCGCGTGTAGTGACGTCACTGGCGGACCCAGACGCACCGCATGCTTTGATTTTTCGATGCGTTTTTGAAACGCTGTAGAGTGGAAATCTTCTTCGAAAAAAAAAATACGGTTATGCGGAAATCCATTCCTCCCGATGAGAAATTAGCTTTATTTCTCAGATAAGTAAGAACTGAAATTTATTACACGCCTCTTCTGTACAATTTCTGTTATAATTTTGGAGTTTGCCACACCGTGCTACAATGGTTTTTACGAGGGTTTTTACCACACAATATGAAGTGTTTAGCCCTGTTTTTATGAGCTGATGATGGAAATGTTGTGTCATCGGCAAATAAAACGCAAGTATTAGGTAACATGGTGTAGTAAAGTCATTAATGAAGGCGATGAACAAGATTGGCCCAAGCACTGAACCCTGCGGCACACCCGCCTTTATTGAACTGCAGTTTGAATAGACGCCTTTAATACACACGCTATTCTGTCGTTCTTCGAGATATGACTTAAAGAGCTTTAGCGAAGTGCCACTTAATCCATAATACTCCAATTTCGCCACAAGGATATCATGCGGGACACAATCGAAGGCTTTCGATAAATCAAATATTTGTATGATGTCGTACAGTAAATCCATTGCTCTTTTCAAAGATCTCAAAACATAAGCATTGCATATGAACAACAAAAATTGCATCGATTACCGATTTAACCGGAAGTGACACCGAAAATTGCAATATGCCATCGGATAGATCGTGATATCGCATACAAAACTATATTTGATCCCCAAATAAAAGAGATGATCCTAGTATCTCGAACACACTGTATAGGTACGTAACAAAATTTAATAATCTCTAATTAAGAAAAATGTTTTTCTTTAAAATAATAAATAATAAAATGTTTTTTGTGGCTGAATTAAATAGACGCACGCCACTGTTTATAGTTTCGAACTTTGTAGATTTGTTGCAAATTTTTAATAATTTATTAAACAATCAATTGTTTTGACAAAACTAGCAAAAGATTAACGCAACCTAAGTAGAATTACAAAAAATCAATTAACAAAACTATTTTCTTTAATTTGAGTTTTTCCTTTAAAGTGCTGCTATATAAAAAAAATGAACCTACTCTTTAATATGTAACCAAAACTAGTGATCGATTTAGAAAAATATGCCCCGTTGACCATGCAGAAGTACGCCACTGACCACAAATTTAAAGTAGATTGGTAGGAAACTTGTTATAATTGAGGATACCATAAAAAACTTATTTGCAAAAATTGTAGTTTTAAAGCAGCGTTCCAGACAAAATTTATATACATGGAAGTATACAAGCGCCAAGCGAGTATCGAATATCAATGGAAACTCTGCAAACGGAATTGAAAGTCTTTCTCAACCTAATGGCAAGATGAGACTTCCCCAATACATCTCGTTCCACGCATCACAGCGGAGCTTCACGTCGACTCCAAGCACGCATAACATTATCATTCTTGATGGTGGGGGCCTCAAATCGCCAAGAAAGAGATCAGCAATTACGTAATCGCATTTCTTCTTTCCCTCCACAAGACTCGAAATTGCCCCAGTGCCATGCATGTTACGCCAAAACGTCAATCGTATAAACGAACAAAATATCTCGCAATCGGAGTGTGTTTCAAGGCTAGTCGTTGTTGCTCACCCTCTTCAATATGGCAATAAATAAATAAACTTTGTTCTTGAAGAACTCTTTTAACTCCGAGATAGAAGAAAGAGTCCAAAATTAGATTGCCCGTCTGGCCTTGGCAGATGACGCCATTCCGATGCGAATTCAAAAGCCCCTGCTGCTGTCTTGATTATCATCTAATTCGAGCAAGTAGGAGTAAAAATCCACACAGCGAAATCCGTTACAATCCATGTCGAGAGCCAATGACCTTTTTTTCTTTGGAAAAAGTTGAAAACCGCATGGTCTCACATTAAATATGTTGGTAAGCAAAAGCATGTGATACTCAAAATTGATAAGGTCCCAATTTCCTTGGAATGAAGAGTCTACGAACGTAAAATGTAGAAACTTCTGTTGAGCATTTGATAAAAATAAAAGTGTTCAGAATTTCAACATACTCAAATATTACTTTCACCTTTGAATTACGTCGATGGGTAAAAAGTAAACACATGTGGTCATGTTGGTCAGCATTTGAAAGCAGGGGTCATCAAAATTTACAATGCACCGATTTGCTTTGGAAAAAGTACAAAACTTCAGTTGTGATCTAGATCTAGACCTTTTGCTCTATAAGTTAATACCTTCAAGCAAAAACCCTGATCCGAGCCCCAGTTACTTAGAAATATGTTGTTTTGTTCCTACATTATCACCAAAGACAGGATAGTCTTTGATATCACCTATGACGCTTATAATAGAATGACCAATCATTATTTGGTTTACATTAAAAAAATTATAAACAATCAGCAAGCTAGCGGTGATTATTTTTCAACAAATAACCTTGCAAAGGTACCAAAAACCTATTCATAACTCGAAGATTGTAAGTTAGACTGATATCGAAGACAATTGTAAAAAACAAAACGCCACACCCCGCAGCGACAGTTCAGAAGT